TTTAAAACTGCTAGGAACCTTAAAATGAAACAATTTACGTGCTGGTTAAAGGGATCTGTTTGGGAATCCATGGGTAAAGGAACCACCCTTGCAATGCAACATTAAAATGAGCTACATGTGTATTTGACATTTACTTCACAGAATGTAGACCAAAAAATTTTAAGACTCAGATTTAAGGATGCCTGATACTTTGTATTAAAACCATTTAGAATCTGGTGCATATATATTACTAATGGTAATGGAAGCATGTCTGTTTTGTTGTTCAACAAAAAAATTGCTATTCTTTCTCTCCTCCCTTTGGTTGACACACTTCTCAGACAAAGGTGTCCATATTTGTGGCCTCCTGTTTACTTCAAAATCTTCCCTTATCCTTCTGTATACCCATTTTTCTGAATGACATCCTAAAGTCAAATGGCTTTTTCCTTAGTTCGCAGTCTCCTTGATTTAACAACAAAAGTGAACACAGTTTAATGTTGGAAAAGTAATTGTCAAAGTTAATTTGACATATATTAAGTGCCATGCAAAATAGTATTTTGCTGTGTAGTAACTGGACTTAAATATTAAACAAATATTGTAAAAAGCTTTAATTGACAATGTTACCTTTTTACCCAGCCCAATGCATTTGCATGTTTCAGTTGTTCTGTCTGGTTTATTTTATCAAATATTGAACTTTATTTTATTTAATGTTGTCTATGTGCCAATTACCATGATAAACCTTTTAGACATATTATTTTATTTAGTCCTTACATATGTGCTAAGATTATTGTCCTTATTTTCCCAACAAGTCTCAGAATGATTAACTTATTCAAGATTACATGGCTAATGGAGCAAAGATCTGAACCCATCTTTGTCAGAAAAGAAAGTACTTGTTGTCAACTCTTAATACCTCCACACGATATCAACTGTGACTGTTGTTCCTGGCATCACGTACATTTTAATACTTGTTAAGCATATCCATGTAGCTAATTAGTTGCTCTGGCAGTCAGTAAGTGTTTAAGTGTTATGTGAGATTCCGAGATCAATAAGACACAGTCCCACCTCCCAGTGCACTCATGGTTAGTAAGGAATATAGGTCAACAAACAAATTCATAGGCTGATAAGATAGTTACCATAACTGAGAGCTGCATTAGGTGCTGAAGTGCTGTGAGAGTGGTGAACGGCCAAGATCTGCCTGAGGAAGTGAAGCAAGTTGTCAGAAAATGGTTTTGGGTTTAGGAACTTGAAGGACAGGAAGAAGTTTGCAGATAAACAAGAGACGGACTGAGATCAAAGGCAGCGAGGTGCCAGCATCTGGAAGCTGATGAGTTGATGCTACTCTCGTTCAGATTCCTCTGTCCCTTCCAAACCTCTGGGCTTTGTGCGCTTAACTGGGAGACCTGCTAGCTGGTCCTCTTTAAGAAGAACAACGAACCTTAGAGATAAGAGGTAACGGAGTCTTCTGACTTAATGCTCTATCAAAGCTCAATCCCCCTTCCTCTCTTAATACTCTCCAGTGGTTCTCAAAGTGTAGTTCTCCGACCAGCAGCAGCAGTGCCTGGGGATTTGTTAGCGATGCAAATTCCTGGACCCCTCTCCAGATTTGCTAAATTGAAAACCCTGGGAGAGGGGCACAGCAATCTGTTTTTAAAAGCTGGAGTCTGATAGCTACTACTACACGCTTACTCTCCTTCCATACACTTGAGACCAGTAAAGCTAATTTCTCTAACAAGCTTTGATGTATAATGAGCCTGTTTTGTTCACCCTTGCAACACCCAGCACTTAAGCCAGCATTAAACACATAGTAGGTGTTCAGTACCTGTTTGTGGAAAGAACGAGTGGGTAATTAAAAAATGGACCCCACCAGTGCCTAGAAACTTCAAGTGCCAACATCCCTAGAAGAGCTAATGTAATTCCATGAAATTTGAAGTGTCTGATAAGAGTGGAAGGGAGGGAGAATGTGAGAGGTCTTGGGAGGAAAAGAGAATTAACATTTGTTGAGCACTAACTACATGCAAGGTCCTTTTTAGAGTCTTTCTAATGTCTTCACAACCACCCCAGGAGGCAGCTGTTATCATCCGCCCCCCCCCCCCCCCCCCCCCCCCCCCCCACCCCCGCAAGAGGTTAAAACCCTGAGGCTCAGAGAGGAAGTGTTCCCAGGGTCGCACAGCTGCTGGGTGGTGCAGCCCGGGGCCCTCAGAGCCCTGAATCTTGTTCCTAAAGAACACTGCCAGCAGCCAGGGAGGGGACAAAGGGGAGCAGAAAGCCCCGAGGGAAGACAGACTCCTTTAACCACGACTTTGCTTCTCATCTTCACCATCATCTGTACACATTTGTTCTGGACACCGAACTACACAGAGTCTTTAACCTGTGAGCAAAGTGTTCTCGGGCACTTTAAACCTTGGTTGTCCCCTTCTCCAGAGCCCTCCTCCTTTCCACTGGCCCTGACATCACACCGTCTTTCGTCTTCACCTGTCTGAATGCGCCTTCTCAGCTGCCTTCACTGACCCTGGATGTGCCAAGCCAGCCCGCGCCTGGGCTGGGGGAGGTTTCCCGTACTGGGTCAAATGAAGCTGCAGGCTCCCCTCCTGATGGTGCCCTTCATGAATTCCATTAAGTTTCAGTTTGCGATCATATTCTCTCCCAGAACCCAAAGACTTTACTTCCCAGAAACAGCTTCTCTTTCCCTTCCCTTCCTACGCTTTGAAGATGTCTTCCATTCTGAGAGCTTCAGTAACATCATAATTCTCCGCTGGCAGCTGTAGCCCTGTTCTGGCCTTGGGTTTCACTACTGCATCTACCTACCCACCGCATGCTTCATTTGGGTGTCCTCTCCTTACTTTAAATGCAACATGACCGAACTGAACTCATCAATTTATTCTCTAACTTTATTCTACCCCTCAAACTCTTACTGTTTCCATCATTGGCACCATATTCTACTTGTCATCAGGCTTTTAGACCCACCCATTGCAGGCCTTAACCTCTTTCTCCCTTTGTAGTTGCTCTTTCTCCCTCCCTCGTCACCTCCCTTCTGTTTTTCTCCCCTCTCTTCTTCCCATTCCCACAAGAATTTATTGGGCACTTACTATGTAACAACCCAGGCATGATCTTTGCCTTCCTGGAGCCTATATTCTAGAAGAGAGAGAAAGCCAACAACCCAGCAAATAAACTAATAAGCTGTGACAAGGGCAGTGAAATAAATAAACAGAGGGCTATGTGGAGTATAATAAAGCGGGGTTGGGGGAGGAAAGGCCTCTCTGAGGAGGTGACATTTAAGGTGAGACCTACGAGGACCAGGGAGTGGGGGGGAGGGGCTAATGAACTGGAGGGAGAGCGGAGGGGCCTGGACAGATGTGGGCAAGGGCAGATCACGTGGGACCAGGAGAACAGGTAAGGAGTTCTCACGTCATCCAACGTGCTGCGGAGGCCTTTGGACAGGGCAGTGGGAGGAGTGGCCTCGGCTAAGTTACAGGTAGAGGAATGATGGAGTAAACACTGATCTTTTCAGCTGTTCTCTGGAGAAGAAATTGAACAAGTGAGGGAAACTGTAAATTTACCTGTATCTTTTAGCCTTTTCCTGATAGAATGTCCTTCTAACTAGGACTTCTACTCTCCCTTCTACCAAAAGGGTGAGAGTTAGGTTCTATACCACTCAACGGCTTGCTTCCAGGAGAGTGTTGGGCATTGGGAATGGGCAAAATCATTAACAACAACAATAGTAAAGCTTTACTGAGTGTTACTATGTACACTCAATATGAATACTCATGCATATATGTCTTAATGCTCAGTAAGGGGTATATGATTATCTTTATTTCACAAGAACAGAGAGGTTGATTAAGTTGCTTGAAGTCACATAACTACTAAGACAAAAAAGAATAGAGACCATTTCCAAACAAACATGGTCGGGCTTTGATTGTTTTTTCTTCCTTTCTTTATATTTAAAAAAAGATTTTCTTTCTTTATTTTTAGAGAAAGGGGAAGGGAAGGAGAGAGGGAAAGAAACATCAATCGGTTTCCTCTTGAATGCACCCCAACTGAGGACTGGGCTGCAACCCAGGCATGTGCCCTGACCAGGAATCGAACTGGTGACCTTTCACTTAGCAGGACAAGGCCTAACCAACTGAGCCACACCGGTCAGAGCAGTTGTTTTTACTTTTTCATGTTTTCCATACTCATGGAAAATTCAAATTGTACAAAATTACCCCAAGTAGAAAGTTAAAGCTGCCCTTAATATAGCCTCTAACATGTGCTTTTAGAATTTCACTATGGTTTTGCCCCCGGCAATGCTGGGGTACTTCATGTGGGCCACGCTGAAAAGCTCTTGTATACCCAGGTCCTGGGAAGGGGCTGGTACTCTCTGAAGCTGGTTTGGAAACAAAGGGACACGGGGCTACCATCTCTGCTACGGAAAGTAGACGCCACACTGTCCCAGCTGCACAAGGAACCACACCCATCTGGGGTAAAAGAACTTGATCGAGGTTACCTCACTATTTGAAGAGCAGGCCAAAAACAGCAGGAAGGGGGCAATGAGAAGCTGCCTACACCGACAACTGAGTAAGAAAAATTTAGAGGTGAAATCTGGTTATTCAGTCCTCCTAATTTCAGTGTCTCATTAAGAGAGATCGTTGGGTTTCCTCTGTAGCAAAAACAACTTCAGCAGGAAAACTAACCACAACAATGAAATATTCTGGTGTCATTTCATAATTCTGCATAAAAGCTGGAGGTGTTCAAATTTTTAAACCCTATAGTACAAAGGCAGTTTTCCAAGCAGGGCTAGGCCACGCTCACTGTTGAACAGGAAAACTAATTAGCATCCTGTGTGAACTATCTTGTCTTTTTTTAGGATCGGAAATCAAATGGGAAGGGTTCCCTCCTGTTCCAAGTGAGTTCCAGAAGAATTACTCATGTTCCTTAACCTATGAGTCAGACAGGAGTCTAGGAGAATGTTTCCAAAACAGGCGGACAATTAGATAAACAAACCAATTGATAATGTGACAGTCTGGACGGGCAGGGCTGCAATTGGCCAGAGCATGTGACCCAGCTCTACGGCAAGAAGACTGTAGACCTGCCACCGCTGAGCTTCCCTGGAGAATCTACGGATAACCAGAGCTCAGCAAACCAACTCGGAGCATTTCCTGAATGTGAACGTCCACAGGGTTTGTTTTCAGATCCTTTATTCAATTTCATTGACTTACTGTAGGATTTACAGCATCTTTCTGCTCCGAATACCTCGGGGGGCTGACTGTGCTGCCTGGCTCTCTGAAAGCTTTGGCTATCCATGTATTTCGACATCTCGCAACACAGGATATTAATCATTTCTGGACTCTGGGTCTGTTCCCAGTGTCCATGTTTGCCACTGTTGATCTGCAGCCAGAAAAATAGCTTCTATGTGACAGAGGCTTTCCTGCTTTGAAATATAAAGTAAGGAAGAAAGCTTAGGAAATAACTTTGCACCAAGCTGGATTCTCTCCTGGGCACAAAAAGGATAGCCTCCTCTTTCTCCCTCTAAGAAGGAGTCTGAAGCCAGGTCCCAGCTCTGTCTGAGCCTGCACCGCACCTACAGGCATCTCCTGAACAGAGGTGTCAAGGTGAGGACACAACCCCACCCACCTGACGCCTCTCTCTCTTCCCTAGAGAAAATGGTAAGGGGGGTGTGCAGGGTCCGCCCTGCTGTGGAGGAAGGGGAAGGCCTGATGGTGTTTTTCTTCATCCCCCATTGAGCTCACGGGGCTACAGAGGCCAGGCAGGGGTGAGGGTGGGGTCCTTCCTTCACACAGTAGTCAGAGTGATCTTAATAAACACTGCTCTGATCACTTCCCTCCTCCCAAAACCCCTTTTAGGGAACCCTCCCCACTCTCCCCTGCAGGAGAAACTACAAAGTTATTAAAGGCCATTCAAGGTCCTTCACTCCCTGACTCTGCCTCACTCTCAGCTTCATCACCAGCTGCTCCCCGACCTTTTCACACTTGCCTCACAGTTATTTCCTGAAAATGCTGTGTACTGTCAGCTCTGCTTTCTTTATTCATGCTGCTTCTTCTACCTGGAATGCCACCCCTTGACTCTCGACTTGCTGTCCAGCCCCCAATATCACCTCTTATTGGCGGTGATATCACCTCCTGCAGGAGGGCCCTATTCCCACCCCTCGTCGAGTCCTTTGTTCCCTGGCCTGTGTGTCCAGCACACTGCGGGCATGCTCTCTTCTGGCAATTGTTACTCCTGTGGGCTTGTTCCACGTACCAGTCCTTCCCATTGGACTGTGGACTCCGGGAGGTTAGGCACTCTATCTGCTCTAACTTTGGCTCTTAAAAGAAAAGTGATAACTTCCCTGGTGGGTGTGGCTCAGTGGATTGAGCACTGGCCTGTGATCCAGAGGGTCTCTGGTTCAATTCCCAGTCAGAGCACATGTCTGGGTTGTGGGCCAGGTCCCCAGTAGGAGGCACTCAAGAGGCAACCACATATTGATGTTTCTCTCCCTTTCTTTCTCCCTCCCTTTCCCTCTCTCTAAAAATAAATAAATAAAATATTTTTAAAAACTGACAACATGTAATTGAATCAAGGAGAATTTTACACACCAGTTATGCTCTTTGGTATTCAGATAATGGATCAAAGTTTAAAAGAAGCTGCACTCAAACAATAGTGTCAAAGCTCTCCTTCCTTGTAGCTTTCGCAATTTTAATCTGACTTTTAGTAAAATTTGGCTTGCTTCATGAGACTATGGTATTCAGTTTCAAAAAGGTAATGGCTTCAGGGTATACTGACTAACACAGAGGTTAATTGTTTAAGATAGGAACTGATAGCTTAGCTACATCATACTCCAAATTTCTCTCTCTTGCACACACACACACAGCCCACAGAGACAGAAATTCCTAACAATACATGAACGAGGCTTATGGTACAAAATGTAGTCTGCAATACAAATTTTAAATGTCATACAAAAAGCTGATTACTTGACAGATGTTCACAGGAGGGCACAGTGAGTCCTCAGCAGGGCTCGGTGCTGTAAAGGGACACCAGAGAAGGCAAATGCACGGCGCTATTTTGGAAAAGGGTCACACCGATCTGCCTTCCATCCTTAAACGGGTTTTTCTCTCCTCAGTGTCTGTACAGGTGCTTCTCTCTGCCTAGAAAGCCTTTGCCCTTTACCCAACCCCTTCATTAAGTTTCAGCTTAAACAGAACTGTCCTAGATAGAGGAGTCTTTCTAGACCCAACCTCCTCATACTCTATTATAGTACTGCTGGCGTTTTCTTCAAAGCCCTTGCCAGTTATTTTATTTTATTATCTTTTTAAATTTTGTGTCCACCCCTCTCATTGGACTGAAGGCAACTTGAAGGAAAGTGGATTCATGTAGGTTTTATGTATTGAATGCACAACACACAGGAAGTGCTCGATAACAACTTCCGGGTAAATGAAGGTAGTCTTTTAAGCCAACATTTCACTCAGAACTTGGGGGAGTTGATTTGATCAACTCAGGAAAAGTGGCTTTTCCTGCCTGGTCAGCCACCTGGACCCATACCCCTGAACTTGCTTCCCAGGTGTCCAGCTCACTCATCTCGGGAACATCTTTGGTCACCTTCTGCACTTAACCACGGTCCTTGCGTCACCTTTCATAGTCATTGCCTCACCTGCACTGGGACAGCTTTCCCAGGCTGTTCGTTCCTCCTCTTTCTGGGTGCCCAGAACACTTGGCTTTTCTTCCACATTTTCCCATGTTGTTTCTTTTTTTATGCGAACTCAAATGTGGTCCTAGAAAACCTTGAACAAACATCACAGAGGTGTAGAAAGTTAAACGTAAGATCCTCCCTTCCTGTCCTCAGGGGACCTTTGGAGCCACGACGTTCTTCTCATGAAGACCATGAAATTCTTTTTTTTTTTTCAATAAAAAGGAGACCACTGTATCCTCTGAGAAAGTAAAAGAACATATCATACAAGAAGACTGTGTAGTGACATTTTTCAATTACTATCATTTTTCTTTTTACTTTAGAATGGAGAGAGCAATCTTGATTTTTTTAAATGGCTGATTATTGGCCCATTATGTGCTTGTACTATCATTCAAAAAATCAGTTTCTTGATGGCTACGTAGGTAGCTCCTATTTTTTTTTTTTAATTACAAGCAATACTGAGATAACTCACCTTGTATATCTGAGTGGCTATTTCTCTGGGATATATTCCTACACATGGTGTTGTTACAGCAAATGAAGTCCCACTTCGTATTTTGATAGCTCAAGACTGGTTATCTTCTAAAAAAGCAGCGTCTGGGGAATCCCACCCACAGTGTATAATACTGACTGAGTCTCCACCGCCAGGGCTGGGCATCGACAGGGTAGATCATCTTTGACCCCAAACATTCCTGCCTCTAGTCGTCATTGAAGTTGAGGAGTTTTTCATATTTAATCTCCACTTGCGTTCTTTGTCTGTAAGCTTTTGTTTATCTCCATTGCTCATTTTTTATTGGACTGTTCAATTTCATTTTTGTAACGGCGTTTAAAAAATTGTGGTACAATGCACACAGCATGAAATTTACCATCTTAGCCACTTTAACTGTGCTGTTTAGCGGCAGTAAGTGCATCTACATGGCTGTGCAGGCACCTCCACCATTCACCTTCAGAGCTCTTTCCTCTTGCAAATCTGAATGTCTGTACCAATCAAACTGTAACTCTCCATCCCCTCTCCCCCAGCCCCTGCCAGCCACTATTCCCGTCCTGTCTCTACAAATTTGACTACTGTCACAGCTTTTAAAATAGCATGCATATAAACTTTTATTTGCTCTAGAGGTTAAACATGTTTCACCAGATGTTTAGCTTGTTTTTTAATCTTATGGTTTTACTTGTCACACAGAAGGTGAACATTTGTTTTTGAAGCTTCACACTTTTATGTCAGCAAATATGACCATCATTTGCTTTTATGACTGGAGTTTTATGTTTTGTTTAAAGAACTACCTTACCCTAAAATAATCAAGTATTCTGATTTCTCCAGGTAACAAAAGTACTCTGGTCATACCTGCGTTTTGTATTCCAATGGACACCAACAACCGGCATCAGGGAGAACTGTGTTCCAGGAAACGTGTTACGTTCCCCTCCTGTATCATCTCATTTAATCTTCATAGCAAGTCAACGAGGTGAGTGCTACTGTCCCTGTTTAATAATGAGAAAATTGAGGCTTAGAGAATTTTAAAAACTTACCACTCCAAGCGGCAAGGGGCAAGGCTGTGATTTGACCTGAGCCATTTGACTCTACTCTGACCACAAAGCTGTGAATTAATGTTCCCCTCAAGGTTGTGAACACCGTCTTATCTCTATTTCCATTCTGGTGCATAGGTCCTCAACAATTACTTTTGGAGTGAATTAATTCTCATTATTTCAACTTGGCATTCTGTGTGTAACCTCAGGTACTGCCTTTCCCACCTCTTCCTCCGTAGCTCACTCGTCTACGAATTAAGTCTTGACCTTCCTTCCATGCTCCTTTTTCACTGGAAATAAACTCCCCTGGGTGGTCAGTGATCTCCTCAAGCGTTGCTGCCACTCCCTCAAGGTAATCTGGCTGCCTGTCAAAACACTGTGCCCTTCCCAGGATTCTCCACTGGGGCCACTCACACTCCCTGTCCCTGTCCTCTCTTTCTTGAAGAAACAATAAACTTATGCCTTCCTTGCTGGCTCGCAGACCATGGTTCTATCATTGTCCTGTGGTGGCCTCTCCTCTCTCGAGTTCACGCCATCCATTTAGCACTCCCCCCCGTGCTATGACGTACTGACATCTGAGTGGGTTCCCCCTCCTCCTTCCTTAAGAATTTCAGAGCTGGGCTCACAGTCCTCACATCTCTGGCTTCCATCATCTCCCTTTAAAACTCCCACTCTTGTATAGATGACCTTTTCCATGCTCTGGCCTCAAAACCTCTATTTTCATAGTCAAATATCCTTCCTCTCTTAAGTGTCTCACATCAGTCCAGTCCTGACTGCTTGCTTAGTCATTGTGAAGATGTGCCTTTCCAGTCCAGCTCTCTGGTCTTTCTATGGCAGGCACCCTGCCCCCAGCCTTTGCTAACTTCTAGGCCTGGACAAACACTTTCTATTGTTTCCGCTCCTCCCCATTGCTGGGGAAGTTCAGGAAACCAGGCTGTTTGGATCCCTTACAAACCCATCTGGCTCGCCTTCGAAGGACCCTCCCTGCTGCCTGCACACCCTCTCTTCCCCACCAGCTCGCTTCCTTCTCCACTTTGTAGCATCTCTTCTAAACCCTTCAATCTCCTGGAGTGGAACTCCACTTTCCGAAGGTGTCTTTGCCTCCTCCTGAACTATGGAGAACAGGGCATCTCACTCAAATTCTCTCAACTTCCCTGCCCTCCCCTACATCCCTTCTTTCCCTTCTCAGAGGGGTACAGCTTTTCCCACTTTGTCCTTTGGGGTGCTTATGAAATATAACAAATAAAAAGCCTTTGGAAAATGAAAAACTTGGGCTTGAAATCAGTTCAGTTGTCAGGTAGTTTTGTGTCCTGGGATAATTCATTTAATGTTTCAAGCCTTTACTGCACCCATAGGTGGGAGTGATAACAATACCCGCCTCGAAGGGATTTGCAGAGGGGACTAAATGCCCAATGCATGAGTGTCATGAGGCATCCGCCCAGAATTTCTGAGTTTTCTTCCCCCAGCTCACGCCTCCAACTCCTCAGCTTGCCTCTCCAATCCTTTCAGGTGCTTTCCCCCATCAATTACGTCCTACCTATTTATAAATATTTTATCTATTCCTGTGACTAAATGTTGTCTCTTGACTTACAAAAATGTGAAATTCTCCTTTACACCTCAAATCTTTCTTGCGACTGTGAATTTCACTCCCCATTCTCTCCCCTCTTTTCGTGTTACTGCCAAATCCCTTGAAAGAGCAGCCTCACTAGCCGCCTCCCTTCCCCTCCCTCCCACTCTCTCCCGCACCCTCTGCTGCCAGGCCTCCCCACCTCTTCTCCCTGCCTCATCACTGCGTTTACATTGAGTTCCTGAAGCCACAGTGATGCCGGCCCCTGGATGCTTGGCTTTCCTGGGTCTTCAGCCTGCCCCTTTCAGCTACGCAGCAGGCAGTGCTTCTGCTGGGAAAACCTGCCTTGTCCTCACCCCACTGTTTGCTGCTGGTTCTCTTCCTTCTCCTGCTGCTTCTTTAGTTCATTCATTTAGCATGTTTTTTGGTATTTTATTTAATCTTTATTGTATTTTTTCCATTGCCTTTTAGTCCCCTTCTACCCCCTGCCCCAGCGATCACCACTGTTCATGCTGTTGTCCATGTCCATGAGTCCTTTTTCCTTTTTCTCAATCCCTCCATCCCCCAACCCTCCCCACTAGCTGTCATTTAACATGTTTATTTTTGATAAATTTCTATTTTTTATTTTATTTTTAGAGATGGAGGAAGAGAGGGAGAAAGAGAAAAACATGTGTGGTTGCTTCTTGAGCACCCCCTCCTTGGGACCTGGCCTGCAACCCCAACATGTGCCCTGACTGGGAATCGAACCAGTGACCCTTTGGTTCACAGGCTGGCACTCAATCCACTGAGCTACACCAGCCAGGAGCATTTAACGTGTTCTTTGAGCATCTATTATATACAACAAGTGTGCTAGGTGCTGGGGATAAAGTGGTAAACACCACAGACATTGTCACTGGCCAAGTGGCCCCTGTTATGCATGGTCTGAGAGGACAGACATCGGACAAACAGCAGTGATATTCTCTATATCAGCTGCTTGCTCTGTGTGTGTATGTATTTACATATTTACAGAGTGTTATGAAAGCATTGAACAGGGAAGAGCGGAAGGGGGAAGTCAAGGGAGGACAATTGAGGAAGTAATATTTAAGCTGAGATCTGCAGGATGAGTAAGTGTTAGCTGGGTGAGGAGCGGAGAGACTGTGGGTAGCTCCCAGGAAAAGGAAGAAAACTGTGAAGGCTGCGCAGTGAGAAGGAGCTTGGCAAATTCCAGCAACCGAAAGAAGGCCAGTGTCGCTGGAGTGCAGGGACCAGGCGGCGGGGCGATGAGGTTGGAGCCACGAACAGAGGGCAGGCGGTGCAGGGTCTTGTGGGGGCCTGGGCAGGTTTGGGGGACCTCCTCCTAAGGGCATTGGGCAGCTATCGGAAACCTGTCTCTGCCACCCATTTCCCTATTTTGGGTGTGCCTCAGAGATGGGTGTTTGGGGCTCTGCCCCTCTCTTGGACGTCCAGACCCATGGCTGAGCAATGCTGGCTACCTCTCTGTGGCTAATTCTTGAATCCTAATACCCTCCTGAATTCCAGTCCTTTTCCCACCTACCAGCTAGGATTGTCTACTGGGGTTTCTTGCCAGTACCACAGATGTAAATGTGAGAAACTGATGCCATCTTCCTTCTCCAAATTCTCTTTTTCCTGTATTTCCCATCTTGGTCGATGGCAACTCCACTGACCTGGAAATGCTGGTGTTTTCTTGACTTCCCCTCATTATTCATTTGTTTACCCTGAGGATACAGCAGGAACCAAAACTGATGGAACTTGCGTTCTAGTGGGGATGACCAATGGAAACACATCAGTGTGTATTTCAATGCCGGTTAGTAAATGATAAATGCTGCAAATGGAAATAAAGGAGGTAGAAAGAGATCGGTGGGGGTGCTGTTTATTTCATCAGAGAAAGTCTCTTGGAGAAGGTAGATTTGAGCAGAGGCCAGGATAAGGATCCAGCCATGTGGACATTTGGACAAATACCGTACAAGGCAGAGGGAGCGGCAAATGCCCAGGCCCAGAGGAGCAGCCTGCTTGCGGAACAGCGAAAAGGTCAGTAGCTGGAATGAATGCATCAAGTGACAGGTTGAAAGTAAATAGATGAGGCTAGAGAAGCAGGACTTACAGTCAGCAGACGGTGCTGCAAGGTGTGGGCAGGGCGTTAAAATTTAATTCTGAGTGAGATGAGGAACCTTTGGAGGGTCTTGCTCAGAGAAAAGACATGACCTTGTAGACAAAGATCAAAGCCCCCCCCCCCACAGCTGCTGTGTGAAGACTAGACTGTGGGGGACAGAGGGAAGACCACCCAGAAATTCATGTCGTTACATGTTCACAGGGTCTTGCCCATTCCCCTCTCCCATCCTCGAGGTGATTTCCCTAAATTGACTCCTCTGTTTCATACACAACATATTATTCATATAATGGGTGGCCTTATAAATGGCATTCCTGCATCCTTTTGGATTCAGCTTCCAGTTGCACAAATCTGGGCCAGCCATTGCCTTCCCCTGTCTTCCTGTTGCTCCCCATACCATATGAGTGAAATGAAACTTGTGCAGCCTTATATTCAAGGTCCCTCCTGGCTTCTAACCTTATCGCTCATGGCTGCCTTTCACATACCCCCAGTGAAAACACAATGGACTGCTCAGTTCCCCACATAACCTTCTTGCCTTTCCACCACCGAGCTCCTGCCCACCCTGTTCCATGTTCTGATAAGGCATTGTCACGCCATCTCCTGTCTCTGTAAGACCCAGGTGTCCTGAGTGTTTGCAGATCACCCCAGGCAAAAAGGGCTCGTCTGGCCTTTGGACTCTTATGTCTTTCCAATGACACTACTCATTTTAATGTGGTTATAACTCTTTATTGTACAAACATTATTCTCCTCATTAAATTGTAAATTCTTAGAGGTCAGGGTCCAAGCAATGTATCTGTGTTTTCCATCCACAGTACCTAGCCCAATGTGCATGGTGACTACAATGGCAGATATTTATCAAACGGCTAAATTGCTGGCTCCAGAATATTTCAGAAGTCTGTTTAGAGAGAAACAACCGAGTCCTAAATCGGCTCAAGTGAACAACATAAGACAGCGTAGAACGGAGGGGTACATCAGACAGCACGGGGTCTACGGACTGTAGGAATTCGGAAAGGGAGATGCGCGGGAGGTGAATGGGTCAGAAAAGACCTGGTAACAGCTGATGTTTCTGAAGTGCTTACCAGGTGCTGGCCTCTGGGCTAGATGCTCTATGGGCATTATCCCATTCTTTCCAATTACCTTACGCTACAGGCACTTTGTATGATACTCGCTAAGGATGAGGAAACTGAGATAGTAAGGTAAAGTAATTTCCTCAAAGTCATGATGTTGTGAAACCTACTGAGGTGGGATTTGAACCTACACTTGTC